GTTACTTAACTTTATTGAAGATAAATATCCTCGAAGATTGGATTCAATTAAACGACTCCTTCAAAATCTTGGTAAGAAGCGATATATTATTCTTTTTTTTTCTTTATTCTTTTGTTTATGTAGGTATTAATAAATCACACAATATTCGTGAAATCTATCTTCAACATATGTTGCCAGTCATGTCAGATCAAACTCGTTGGTCTTTGAAATCGGAATCAGTATTAATCGCGTATCTTTTATGTATTTATGAATACATCTACTCGCAAAAGTCTGATCTATTTGAAAATGAGTTAAAAATATTAAAAAGTAAAGTACTTATTAAAACACGTGATAATAAATTTGTTTCATTGGGTTCTCCTGATGTTGTTGTTCATTTAACATTGAAGTATGGTTGTAAAGATTCACTTGAATCTTTACGCTTATCAAACTATCAATTCATTTTTATTTCTGATGATTATTATAATGAGTTTTGTCTTACGGAATTGTTTCTTAAAAGTCATGATGTACATTCCTTCGTCATATTTCTTAAGAAACTCAATATAAATGACTTTCTTCAAGTAGACTTGAATGAAACGCGTAAGTGCATTACATCAATAAACATATTAATAAAACAATTTTTATTTTACATTAGGATTTATCGGTGTTCAAAATCTTCCTGATACTAAATGGGCATATTTAATTCCAAAATTATCTGAAATGATACATGAACCATTTATAATACAAGATTTTTGTTGTGAGGAGTTCAATAAATTTGTAACACCATCGGATGCCAATCAAACCGTTGACCACGAATTATGTGTTCAATTACTTCAATATTTGGATCGTCATTATCAATATGTTTCTCACTACTTTGCAGGTTCGGTTATGCTAGTTCGTGGACATCAGTATGGTCAAAACACACCAATAAAAGGTATTGAATCTTCGTTTACTCTCTCAGTACGACAACATGCATGGATTCCTGTTGTTGGTGATACATTATTTAAACCTAGTGATGTGTATTTATTACCATCAAACAGTCCAACATATGCCTTTCGACGATATATACCTCATTTAGATGAATCAAAAGTATCGTTAAAAAGTTTAGAATTTATACATAATATACTTGGTATTAAGTCGCAAGTCAAACATCGAACTATATTCGAGTTATTTATGAAGTGGTCATGTAATCTGGATAGTCAATCATTATGGGATTTGATCAAACAGACAGAAACATTGGATATGTAAGTGTTTATATATTAATCACTGATAGAGAGTTCTCTAGTTAATCTGACAGTTGAGTTACTAGTGCTGAAATCTGACCTTCGAGTTCATGAATTATTTCGCTATCCGGATTTCCATCGAATTCTGTTGTCTGATTGAATCCAATTAGATTTATCCATTTGGATTATCCAACTATATAGTTTATCGCGTAAAAATAAACATACCTTTGTTAAAAAAAAAATAATGAATTGAAAGAATTTTCTTCAAGAAATATTGTACCTTAACTATGATTATTTTATTTTAGTATTCCTTGCACTCTACCGAATACATTTCGTCAGTCTTGTATTGACACAATCGAAAATCTTCGTCTAATCTATGCATTCCTTGCTTCAAACGATGAAACTCGACGTTTTCTTAGTCGTTTTCGTTTATGGCCAATCATATTTATTCCACGAAAACAAAATACTGGTGATTTCTTATTTGTTCAACAAACATTTTGGACTGATCCCATCTCTCTATTGTCAACACAAGATATAATTACAGATTCAAACGGTCGTATCCCTATTCAATCGTATTACAATGATGATTCTATTTTAAATATATTTTTTCTTGAAATACTTCATGTTGAATTACATCCAACTATTGATGATTATTTACCATTATTATCTGTTGATCAGGATATTAATAAGATTTGGTTGATTATTCAAATAATCACAAAATTAGCAGCAGAACAAAATAAACAAAAAGAAGTTCAAGGTAAAGAAAATTATTTTTTTTTTGTAAAAAACCTATTTTCTTTTGTTGATGTCTTTCGTCTACAGAAAAATGTCTCAATATTACATTCATTCCATGTATGGGTACCAAACAAAAACTAGTAAAATATATCGATCATCCGTTTTATCCACATGATACAGATATTGCCAATTTGTTTTCAGACATTTTGTCTATCATCAAGTTACCAGGTAATTTGAACTAAGTTAATAGTCAATTAATATCGTCATTATATTTAAGGTTTCTCAATTGATACTAATTTTCAAGAACAATTCTGTTCACTTTTTGATATTGAAAATCTTCGTAAAGTTATTCAAACTAAAGTTCATGTTGAAAATGAACAATCATCAACACATCTAGCTGAGTTCTATCATTGTTCAATTGATCTTATTCAATATTTTCTATTAAGCAAACAACTTATATCTGCTACTCATTCTGCCGATTTATCATTTGTATTTGCTCGTATGCATTTTGTTTGTGTTGATCGTATTGATTTATCATATTGCTATGGAACTGATATTATCAAAACAGAATCAAAAAATTATAATAAAGACACTTATATTGACGAACAATCAAGCAAATTTTATATTCTAAAAAAATTTGAACATTCTGAAACACGTTATATTGATGCTATGATTAATTTTATTGTTGAAGATGAAGGAATTCGATCGCAACTTTTATCATATATCAAAAAACTTTTGCAACAATACCAGAATGAAGGTGAAAAAAGTTTAGCTATGTTACGAACAAATTGTACAGAAAATTACGAACCTAAATGGAAAATTCCAAAGGAAATTAAAAAAGATGTTCCAAGTCCACCAGCAATTGAAGAAAAGACTGAAAAACCTGAGATCACACGCGATGAAATAGAACAATTGAAGGACATGCCTTCTACTCGACGAAATCGCATACCGAAAAAAGTAACAGACGAAGATAATACCAGTCAATTAACCTGTTTTCCTGCAAAAGCCAGTACTATCGAAACGAACGAGATTCCTGAATCAAAAACAAAACCAAAACCGAAAGACTCAACTGAAAGAGAAAATCCATCATCAAATGCAAATTCAACTAATGAATATCATCGAGAATCAGGAGATTATCATCGAGGAAACCATGAACATGGAATATCGAAGAACAAAACTACAGAACATACTGATGGTAAGATAAAATGAGACTATAAATATTTATTGAGTTCAAATAATAGATTAAGTTTCATATTTTTTTGTTTCAGAGAATCTCGACAAAAATGAATTAAATAAAGATGAGATAAAGCAATCCAAAGGTCAATTTGTTCAACCTCATGCTCCTATGACTTTTTCGAATACTACTTCGTTACCACCTGTTAACTTCGAATGTATAAGTTTTTCAACTCTACCGTATATTGATTCAAGTACTTCACCTGTTATTGATGGATTACCGAGCGCTGATTCGCTCCGTCCCATTGCTACTGAAACTGATCTTGCTACGGGTCGTCAAGGTGAACAACTCGTTTTTGGTTATCTTAAATGGAAATATCCTAATGCAGATATTAATTGGGTTAATCAAGAAGTAGAATCAGGTAAACCCTATGATATTCATATGATTATTAAATCTGAAAACAATCGAGAAGAATTTATTGAAGTAAAAACAACTCGATCCTATGATCAAAATACATTAGCAGTATCCATTGGTGAAGTTGAATATCTTCTTAACCATCCATTGAATTATTATATTTATCGAGTTTATTATGCAGATAAAATAGAATTATCAACAATTAAAGTGATAAGCACAATCAAAACAAATTTACTGAACAAACATCTTAAACTTTCTATGACTTATGAGTCAAAACAGAACGATTAAAAACATAATAATTATTTATTTTATTTTTTTAAATAATCTCCGACTAATATATAATTAAATAATTTAAATAATATGACAGAATATCTAACATAATATATCTTTACATTGATTTTTCGGCATAAAGAATAGAATCTTCATATATTAATCCATAGGAACTAACATATGAAAATGTCTTGTTGCTATTCGCTCGTAAATTGTTTTGTAATCTGTTAGTATTAGTGTAAAACTTTCGGTAACCTCAAAGTTATAATATAATTAATTCACTTCTTTTAAAAATATTAATCTACATAACAACTGTGACAAATCAATACATCACTAATAGAGATGTGCATGACCAGAACTCAAATTATCAGACAAATTTTCTTGTAAACGATATCAATCAGAATATAATTGATGAGAGATGGTTCTAATTATCGAGTAAATAAATTCAAAAGAGGAGTTGAAACACCAATTTGTTTTATGTAGATTGAAACCAGAAAAAATAAAGTTATCGGTATCAAGTACATATTTCTTCACCACGAAGCGTATTGCATATCTTGAATCGCACCATTTGAAATTTTTACAAACGTATTTTAGTCATTCAAATTCTAACAAAAACTTTAGAGCATCATAGACCACTGTATGTCATGTTATTGATGTCGTTCAGTGATTGTCATCAACTGACGGTGTGAGTGTTATGAATATCTTCTATGACAAATACATCCATACGCAAATGTTAGAATGACCAACGCAGAAACGTTCTTCATCATTCATGGATACTAATAAAATGTTTGTTAGTGTAGAATCAAAAGCAGAGTATACTACATTCTGTTACAAAAAAGGAAAGAGGACAAACCATCATCTAAATATTTGCTATCGCCAGAGAAAATATGTTTTTTTTTTCTCATTCTCACAACTTTCTGTTTTGTTGAAAGAAGAATACTAAATCAACACAACGCCCTTTCAACAGCATTTCATTATTACCTGTCGACTCTTACTGTTATTTTTCTTCATATAGATGTCACTCTCTAAACTTGAATCACTTCCTAATGAGATATTAATTGATATTATTGAGAAATATATCAATGGTGTGGATCTACTTAGAGCTTTTAGCTTTCAATTCAATCAACGATTTGATTTACTCATTACACGATGTCAACGACTTCGTTTTGATTTTTGTTCAATGTCATAAAGATGATTTTCGTTTTTGCATGGGTCTTTTACCAGCGTATATCGACAAAATAGAAGAACTATCCATATCAGAACAAGACACACCTGGTCAATTGTATGCTTTTCTATCTTTTTTTCCATCATTTGCATTATTTAAACATCTTCGACGACCTTATTTTCATTTTAATGATGAAAATCTTGATTGGAACAGTGTTGAAAATGCTCTTTATTCTTTACCAGAAACGACTATCGACACTTTATCAATCAAAGGAAGTATCAAAGAAAATAGGTACTTATTGGGAAATACTATTGCTCATATTTTTGGCTTAAAATCATTAAAAAGATTTTCTCTTTTGAGCGACTTCGATCGTATGTACTGGAATAATTTAGCAAAGATCTCGTCAAATATTGAACATTTAACTATTTCTGGTATTAATTGTAAATTTCAAGATCTACAATATATTTTCCAGTGTGCTTCTCGTCTTAAATATCTTGATATTGAAATAGCCGGTAGAGGAGTTTCATTTCTCAATGAAAAAGAAAAGCGTCCAAAAAAGAATATTGTAGTAATGTTGACACTTCGTACACTAGGCTTATATTTTGCTGACAACAGTTTAGTCACGATGGATATGTTAACAGAATATTTGAATTCGATGCCTATTTTAAAATATCTTGAGATCAAAGCACACAGTGAACTTCTTGATGCAAATGCATGGAAAATGTTTTTGGAAATATCATTACCATCATTAACTCATTTTACTCTTCGAACAACTTCATCTCGTGTCGAAGAAATTGGACTCCATAATATGCTCTCGTCATTTCAAAGTTCATATTGGGTATCAAAACAAAACTTTAATCTAATGATAACCGAACATGAGCGCTGGAATTATGTTGGTTTCGGTATAGCTGAAACAAAATATCATTTTCGGCATGAATTTGATTGGCCTATGATTCGGTGTTGGACAGCACCCAATCGCACTATTAATAATGATCTTATCATAGTAAATAAAAGCATAAAATTCAAACTTTATGACATAAACAGTCTCGTATCATGTTCTTACTACTTTGACAATGTGAAGTTTCTTATAGTGAATAACATGAATAGTGCTTTATTCAAATGGCTGCATACACATGTAAATTGTTCTAATATCAGGCAAGTCGCTATTAGATGCTCACAAAAAATGACTATCGAATTAAATGTGCTGCTGACATCTGTCACAAATATGAATTCACTTGATATGAGCTTAGATCTAATTTTGGCTAATATAGATGTTTTCCTGGGAAAAATGAATTGTATAAAAGATCTTAACATATCTTTTGATAAACCTGAATTCGATGAAGAAGATATTATTATTATTGCCAAGTGTTTTCCTTACGTGGAACATCTCAAAATCGATACATACACTTTACAGGACATTCCACAACTGAAGAAATATTTGCTACATCTTCGCAGTCTTACTTTCTGCATCGAAAACAATTATAGTAGTTTTTTTGATGTCTATAAGAGAAAAGAATGGGAGTATGATCTACGACGAAAAACTAAATTTTTGTTTCAAGTTACGGCTGATACAATGACAGTTTGGCTCGACGAAGCTGCATTTGAAGAACCATATTGGCGAACATTAGAGACCTGCACTGAACCCTGAAACCCGACACCATCGGAGTCGGTGTTGATGCAAATACAAAATGACTCTGAAAATTCTATTCTATTCTGCTCTCATGTAAAATATATTTTAGAAAAATTGTAACTTATAGTTAGCGAAAACTGCTGCTCTAATATCATACCACACTAAATAGAAAAATGAAACAAAAAGCAAAAGAATAGCTGCACTAGATTAATCATAGATTATGACTCTCGCTTAGATACGTCTTCATGTGCTTTTTAGACAACTGCTTCACTTGAATTTCCGGACAAGATTGAACCAAAATCAAAACTTCATATTTCTGTTCATGTCCTCTGGATCTCAAGAAATTCTTTGAATGAAACTGTGTTTTTTTAAGTCTTTGTTGATGAAAGTTTGATGGAAATTTCCTAAAACTTCAATTTTATAAGACGTTTTTTCTCACGCTATTTTAACAGAATTATCTTTTTTTTACTTGAATTCAGAACTTCTTCTTGCAACAAGAGCTTACCATTCGTTTCAAGTGTCTTTGGTCGCAAAAAATTTTCAAACTCAATTAACTTTAATTTCCTTTGTAACATTCAAAATATCTGTCGACTCACATAATTTATATTCAGACAGAGCAGAAAGAAAAAAAATACATGAGCGAAGGATTGAAAGAGGAAACATATATAAAAGTATAGAAAATGTGCTAATATAACAGGATAATATTGTCAAGGGACTTCGTTCTCATAACTTTCTTCTGATGAAGCCGCAGAAAATATCTTACAGAATATGCAACTTAATATGCAGAGAAATAAACGCAAAAAATGCTAGTTAAATGGTTTTTTAATGAAAAATATAAAATTTAGAATGTTTTTGAATAGATTCTGGTAGTCTTTAGGTTACATCCATCTCATTCTGCTTAAATTTTTACCTATATAAAGACAAAAAATGAATATATATCGAGAAAAAAAAGATTTCACAAAAAAGCTGATTTACTCGTTTTTCACATCATTTTTAAAAAATATGAATTTTTCGGACAATAAAATAAATTTAAAAAAAAACTAAATGGTAACAATTGTAGGACAGGGTCTGATGATTCTAACGAGATAAGAAAGTTGCTTTTGTCTCTTGTAGGAAAAAACTAGATAGGTTTACAATAATGGACCTATTTTTATATGATAAGACAGTTTTTTAGTCTTAATAACTCTACATCTAATCAAATAACATTATTCTACTCAGTTTTTCATGATGATTTAGAATATAGTATTTTTAAAGATTTCAAAAAAAAATTGAAATAAATATTTGGCAATTTCTCTAGAAAAGCTAAATTCAACGAAAAAAAAAGTGATTTTTAGTCATTTAACTTTTGTAGCATTTTTCTCTATCAAACCATATATAAATGAATGAAAAAAAAAATTTACTGAAATTTTGCATTTTCGCTACCTTAATTAACTTTCGTATGTCTTATAACACTCGTGGTTGTATCGAAAACCTTATTAGTATCATTCCGACATTCGAATTGAAGAACACGATGCTATGTTTTTTATATTTTGTATAAACATATATAGAAAAATGTAAAAAACGATGAAAGTAATCTTACTTGTAAAACAAACAATTGAAAATGAAATACTATTTTATTTTTCCTGAAGTAATCATTTCTATTTAATTACATTGTTTTACTTTACCTAATAATCTTAATTAATTTTTTCTACACGACTATAAGTGCATTCATTATAGCTGATTTTTGAAATGATTTTATGTTTTGAGTGTAATATTGAGTCTCAACCGATTAAGATTTTCTGTCTTTGTAGAACAAATTATTTTAAAATATAATTGTGCCAATAACAGAAGCACTTTCACTGAACGCGTCATCTAATCTTTTGATCGCTTGTAAGTGTGATGGCCGCTTCATTATCATGTCTGTCTTTTCTCTTGCATTTTCTATTATCCTTCTTCTCTGGATATTACTGTCTCTTCTTGATGTGTGTACTATGCTCTTTCTCTGCTCCCCAACTGATCTATGGATATATAAGCGAGAGGAAGAAGGAGAAGCAAGACAGTTGGTGTACATGAAATAGTACGTTTTTGTGACGTGAAATGAGCAAGAGAGAAATATTCGAACAGAAGCATGAAAAGGAACGAACGCAGGTTTAAGGCAAAGACAGGTGTAATAATGACAATTTTTCATTCGCTTAGATCGATATGAAAGCAAGATATTCAAATTTCATCAAATAGTTAGAAGTGACTATCATGCTTATTTATGTGAGATATATATCTTTAGTTTTGTTTCAGATTTATACAATTACACGCGAATTGCAGAACAGTAATGAACGATCTTGTATTCTGACACGTGCAAACTGTTGATAATACTTGAAAAAATTATCGAAATTTTACATTCTACTTGAATATTCTAATAAAGATCAGTCGGTTTTTAACACGACTAAATAAAAACTGTAATT